TTAACCCACCCCCACCGGGGTCCCACCGGGTACGTTTTCATTCTGAACGGACAATGACATCATACGTGGCTCATCACGTGCCTTTTCCTGTTCAATAGAAATTGAAAATGGCGGCTGGAGGAGTGTTTCAGGTGTTTTTTGCGTTAGTTTTGGCTTGTCTTTTCGACCAAGTTTCAGCATTCGACGGTGGGGATGCAGCAGCCCTTATCATAGGCCTCATATTTGGTATTATGGCAATTTGTGCTTGTCTAGGAGCGTATGCAAGAAGGCAGCAAGGAGTATGACGTGCCATCTCAAATCGAACTCATTTTGAACAGCGAGAGGAAGTGCTCGAACGAGGCTTTTGAGAAATTATTGTGGATATTTTTACTTCATATATGTGGAACTCCATTCCGTCAGCTTTTTATCTGATTGAACTTTATTTTTCTTGTGGACACTGTCGCTCGAACCTATTTCCATCTGATGTTGGGAATAGCGTCTTTGGTAGGATCCCGTTGGACAAATAATGTGAGGACAAACTGAGGAAACATTTGGACAGTCTTGGACACGATAGATGATGCAATACCGAACGTTGCTGATTTCAAAGAATTTTTTGCGCATACGTGCATGATCTTGCCTTCATTTTGAATGCTTGCTCAATTAGTAGCCTTGAAACTGAACGACCGTGACCTGACTATACCATAGTCACTCTTAGCTAACATTGGATTAGACTACCGAGCTGCGATCCTCAGTCAAGACAATCAGATGTTAAGCTGTGCAGCTTGCTTGTGGATAGTTATGTGATTTAGAAACTATTTTTTGTATGAAGTGTGTACTTTATTTGTTAAAAACTTAAAAATACTTAGAATCAAACAGAAGGCAACCAGGCTAGTACTACTAGCCCATATTGACCCAAGAAAATACATGGATGGAGTGGGTATATTACTTAAGCTTATATTAAAAAAAAATCCTTAGAATCATACAAAACGAAACCATGCCAGTAACTTTGTAAAATCTGCTAGCTCACATTGACCTAAGAAATGTTTTGTGGATGCAATAGATCCTTTACAATGGAAACTTGTGACAATGTCCTGAATGATCAAGATAAAAAATAAATGGAAAGAAGAGTTCACGCATAATAGAACACAGAGTAAAGTTGAATAATTAACATTGACTTTTTAGTGCAGTGACTCATTTTAGGAGTGATGAATGGTAAAATCCAAGATGCTGAGACTCTTGTTTGACAATCCAAGAGTGAGGATTTAATGATTTTAGACTTGGATATGAATGAAACACAGAAAGATGAGACTTTGTGACTCATCATAAAAGCTTCCAAGACTCTGAGATCAAATCAAAAGTTTCTGAGACCCAAGAGATTTCTATATACCATTTGCCACCCCTCATTGTGCTACAGGTAGTTGCCTTGCTAGTCTGAATGATATTTTCCTGGTCTTTTGCTACCCGGCTAGGAGAGATGTTGAACTCCCCCTATGAGTTCAGTTGAGTCTCACAAGTAGTTAATCTGCCAGCAGGCTTATGTTTAGACCTCATTAATCAATGCTGAAGCTGCAAAAAATGCGCTGACAAAATGACTACATAAGAATGGGAATTTGTGAGTTTAAATTTGTGCCTTTGTCACTTACATGTGATTCCCTGAAATAGTCTTGTTCTTTCATTTTCTGAGTGTTCAGTTCTCCTTAAAATATTAATGCTTTGTCAATGTTAGTCAATACTGGTGATTTTCAAGGAGTATATAGTAATCTTTGCTTGAAGAAAGTGAAAGTTTTCCACAGAGATAGTGTTCAGCTTTTTGTAACATTTCTATATGTAGAAATATCCCAACAGCTGCCACAGAGAATGTTTATATACGTGTTGTTCTGCATATATGATGTAAGAAATCTCCATCCAAACTCTCTCAGAGCCTGGACAAAATGAAGATTAATATCGACAAATAATATTAATTTTGTACTCTACTTAGGCATGAGTTTGGTTTCGTTTTGTTTGTTTGCTTTTTTTATACAAAGTCCACTTTATAGTTTTAGATGAGCTGGAGTGCATACATTACCGGAATAAAATTATGATTTTTTTTGCCTTAGACTGCAGTTGGTATACAACATTTTTTTATGTAAAAATTGTTTCACTTCATTGTCTGCAACATGTTTCCTTAAAAATTGCCCATTTTCTTCCTTTTCCACTGTTCCCTAAAAATTTTCTCTCAAGTTCCCATAAATAGTAGCAGAAGCATATCACGTAGGTGATATGCCTCTGATAGTAGTTGTAAGGTACCACCACGTGGAGATTTACTACTGGTTGTTCCATTTGTTGTAGGCAGGTTGTAGGTCACCGTCACGGGGAAAGTTATAACCGAGGAGGCCTGAGTAGAGCCTGAGGAGGCGAAAACAAAATGGCGGCTGGCGGGAATGTTGAAGTCGTTTGGAGCAACCTAATCAGCTACCTGGCGCCCGAGTCTTCCCAAGTACTTGGTATTACATATGTATAACGGATAAAATGCTTGTATTTTCAATGAAGTGAATAATTGTTGCGGCCTCTTTCAGGAACTTCAAATTCTTTGGAACAGTTTAGGCAAAACCCAGTTGTTTTCGCTCGATTACGAGAGTGGTTCCTGGGTAAGTTATAGAACAGGGGCTAACTTATCCAATAAGGCTCGTGGATTGTCTTTGACTTAGTTCACTCTGATAATTTAATACACACAAATAACAGAGTGAATAAACTTTAACTTGTTTTGTTTCATCTCAGAAAAATGTCAGAAAGATTTGAAAGAAAAATTTTGTCCACAATTTTGGTCAAATGTCCAGCACAGTGAGGTGAGCTTAAATAACATGTTTTACCACAATTGCCACTTATCTCGCAATCCGATTGGCTAATTTGCCGTTTTCGATAAGAGTCCAGACAATGCTGCTCATGTCAATGTGTCACCCTCTTGATCGCGCACTGAAAAAAACATTTTCTTTGAAGTTGATATTGTGGTAAAAAAACAAATCGAAAGTGGTTTAGAGTTGTCAGTACTCTTATCGACAACGATTTGTGTCATCACAGTGGTCAAAATTTGACCACTGTGATGACGTATATTGTTGTTGATAAGAGTGCAGACAACACTAAACCACATTCAATTTGTTAACTTTACATGCTGACATGGAATGTTGCAATTACTCAACTACTTTAAGGTGGCTTACTACAGTTTTTTGGATACTAGTAGCACACGCCATGATTGCTTGCCAGATGTCAGTATTAATCGTGCGTGCACAAATGATGCAAGCAATCCTAAGAAGAAAGAAAAACCACTTCAGCACTTGAAAGGCGCTAAATGATCACTTCAGTATACGTAGCAATAGTTTCAAGCTCCATTCAAACATGTGTTTGAGACTAGGGCCAAAAAAATGTGACAAAAAGCCTCGATAAACAACCAGTAAAAGAGCTCTAAATTACTCTTGCTTTCTTGCACGCGAAACATGGCGTCAGATGAGCGCATGCTTAAATAAAAGGCATGCGCAATTCAATTCTCGTCCAAGGTTGTAAAAGCCAGTCTTTGATTGAGGATTGCTTGAAAACCTACCGTACAACCCATGATGAAATTTTCACAGTCGATTTGTAGGGGTGAATCACGTTTAGAACCAAAATTTTGAAAAAATCTGTAAGGCAGATTTTGAGCTGTTTTTGATTTCACATTTTCTAAGTTTGCAAAAAATCTATCTTACAGATTTTTATTTTACCTTGCATGAATGTTAAATCAGAGCCAGTTTCCTATTCCTGAAATTTTGAGGCAGGGTCATATGGGTAGATTTTGAGAAAAAAAAGTTGATTTAACCTACTAGTGCCCAGTCTCTCCTTAGGTACTCGGTCGTTCATTTTGGCCATTTGTTGACATTTAACTGTTTAAGTTTCACATAGAATGGTTAAAGACTTAAATAAACAGTAAATAGAGAAAGGAAAAACATTTTTCACAAGAGTTAGAAGTTAGGCTGTTATAATCCATCAGAACTGTAGTAAGCCACCTTAAGGCTACATCCTCAAGTGCTCGAGAGTTATAGTAGGGGCCGTTTGTCCTGAATGGTGTTGCAGCTCTTGTTGTCAAAGGTTCCCCCACCTTACCCTACCCTCTGTTTTTTCATTCCACTGATCTACGTGTAATTAGTGTTGACAGGTGCCAGGAGTGGGGCTCATGGCTGAGTTGCAGTGATTTGTAAGCCTTGGAGTCAGTACTCTGCCTGGGCTGGCTGGACACAGTGGAAGCCCCTAGATACCCCAAGCACCCATCTTCTGTTCAAGCAAGGCAGCTGTTTAATCAGTTACAGTAGAGTGGTTTTCAATTGAGTGTCGTAAAACCAAAACCAAACCAATTACTTACCAATTAGACTACTCAGCCTATCTCAAATCATAGTAAAACCAAAACCAAAACCAAAGTAATTGCCTGATTACTTTCGACACTCAGTTCAAAACCGCTCTATAACTTGTGGATGGTTTGTTTTACAAGGTTGAAGGTAAAGGATTCAAGACCCTGCTCAATGCAGTAAGTAATCTTCATAGAGGTTTATCAGCTTACAAGCCATTTGTGGAACTACTTCAGTCATTATCAGGAACATTACCATTAAGGTACATTATGCCACATTTATCTCAATTTATCATATATTTGTTAAGCATTTTTTTTGAGAGAGTTTTCAGGGTGCAAAGAAAACAAATTTTCACCCTTTGCTCTTTGGGCAAGCGTAAGCTATGATGTTTTATCTCAAAAATCATTCTCACTAACCAGTCTCCAATAAGGTTGTCTCTTTAGTACTTTTGTAATTTGAACTTTCACAAAAATTTACCCAGGCAAGAAGCCATTAACCTGATTGGAAAATCCACTGGTCCCAGGCTATCAGATAGGACTCTATTTGCATACCAGTTGGTTAATACCTTAATATTTACAAAATATTTATGCTGTGTTCAGTAAATGGGTTTTATTTCCTTTTAGGAATCTCAATTTGCAATTTGAGGGACTTCTAAAGGCAGTTATCTTTTGTGATATACCTGAACAGTTCAAACATATGGTGCACGCCTTCTATAGTCAAGCATTTCAAGCATATCAGTCAATAAACAGGAAAGAAAGTGGAAAAATGGATACATCAGGTATTGCTAAGAATGTTTGTCTTTAGCTTGTGTTGTATGGTGTCTTTTCACATACAGCTGTATTGAGCTGTGTATAATGTGATTTAATTTAACCATCAGATTATCAGCTCCAGATTTCTATGGGGTGATAGTTGATAAGATCAAAGAGGCAAAGGCCTCATTAATTAGGGGTTTCATTAAGGGCCAGCTGCAGGGCAAATTAACTTGCTGCGAGGATGATTTTGCCTGCCTGGTTTGATGATGTAGAATAAACGTTTTTTTATAAGGAAGTTAAGTTCAAAAAGGTTTGCATGCCTGTGGAAACCATTTGTCCTGCTTCTGAAAACGTTAATGGAACCCCTGCATTAACTATCAACTTGAAGATATCAAGAGTGAATGAATATCTAATTGTGGTTGCAGAATTTTAACTAAATTTCAGACAAATAATGATTTCCAATGCATTTTTCTACATCTGAGTTACCATTAAGCTTTATGCTTTAGCAAAATCCTACTTGGATTGAATTATCATTGGAAAGTTACTGTGCAGCTGTATAAAAAATGTACTTGCTCTTTCGAAATTGCAAATTTAATTTTATTTGGGTTGTAAGCTACTTAAAATTTTCTAGAGGCCTGGTGGGTTGTTAGAATAATAATTATTATTATGGTTCATTCTGGCTGTTGTGACCAGCTATGTTACATTCTCAACATTGACTGAAATATATTGTTGAAGTTATGCAGTGACTTTGAGTGGTGATTGGATTTCTTGATTTTCATGTTGCTTTCAAATGGAAGGTACATCTTCAACCGGTATTGAAGATGACGATGAAGGGGAAGAAGATGATGTGGAATCATTAACTTGTGTTGGTTGTGCAGAAGAGAAGGACTGTTGTCATTGTGCAAAGATCATTGAAGGATTTTCACAACTCAATTCACAGCTTCATTCTCTCGGATTGATGAAAAAAGTTGCTGAACCAGCTTTCCTGTCAGTTATTCACAGTGAGGTAAATTCATGGTATTTATATATAGACACTAACACTTTGGATGCACCATATGTCTGTGATGGTCACTGTTTGGAGTTAATTTAGTCAATTCACAGGACATAAATAAATACACAAATATACCCTGAGCCTTTTTAGTAGTCCATAATGATGTGTTACGGTGTATCAGAGCTCAAAATAAACTTGAATTTCAGCTTGCCCTTTGGACAAGCAGCTCTCAAATTGTGCTTGCCCTGGGCAAGTCTTGGTGTGCTCTTTTTTCTTAAGTTGCCAGACAACTTGCCCATCGGGCAAGTGAGAATGAAAAGTTGCTTGTCTGGCGGGAAAGACAACCAGACAGCACTTTTTTTTGAGCCCTGGTGTATTACAAGTGTATCGTAATATTAACTNGAGCTGCGATCCTCAGTCAAGACAATCAGATGTTAAGCTGTGCAGCTTGCTTGTGGATAGTTATGTGATTTAGAAACTATTTTTTGTATGAAGTGTGTACTTTATTTGTTAAAAACTTAAAAATACTTAGAATCAAACAGAAGGCAACCAGGCTAGTACTACTAGCCCATATTGACCCAAGAAAATACATGGATGGAGTGGGTATATTACTTAAGCTTATATTAAAAAAAAATCCTTAGAATCATACAAAACGAAACCATGCCAGTAACTTTGTAAAATCTGCTAGCTCACATTGACCTAAGAAATGTTTTGTGGATGCAATAGATCCTTTACAATGGAAACTTGTGACAATGTCCTGAATGATCAAGATAAAAAATAAATGGAAAGAAGAGTTCACGCATAATAGAACACAGAGTAAAGTTGAATAATTAACATTGACTTTTTAGTGCAGTGACTCATTTTAGGAGTGATGAATGGTAAAATCCAAGATGCTGAGACTCTTGTTTGACAATCCAAGAGTGAGGATTTAATGATTTTAGACTTGGATATGAATGAAACACAGAAAGATGAGACTTTGTGACTCATCATAAAAGCTTCCAAGACTCTGAGATCAAATCAAAAGTTTCTGAGACCCAAGAGATTTCTATATACCATTTGCCACCCCTCATTGTGCTACAGGTAGTTGCCTTGCTAGTCTGAATGATATTTTCCTGGTCTTTTGCTACCCGGCTAGGAGAGATGTTGAACTCCCCCTATGAGTTCAGTTGAGTCTCACAAGTAGTTAATCTGCCAGCAGGCTTATGTTTAGACCTCATTAATCAATGCTGAAGCTGCAAAAAATGCGCTGACAAAATGACTACATAAGAATGGGAATTTGTGAGTTTAAATTTGTGCCTTTGTCACTTACATGTGATTCCCTGAAATAGTCTTGTTCTTTCATTTTCTGAGTGTTCAGTTCTCCTTAAAATATTAATGCTTTGTCAATGTTAGTCAATACTGGTGATTTTCAAGGAGTATATAGTAATCTTTGCTTGAAGAAAGTGAAAGTTTTCCACAGAGATAGTGTTCAGCTTTTTGTAACATTTCTATATGTAGAAATATCCCAACAGCTGCCACAGAGAATGTTTATATACGTGTTGTTCTGCATATATGATGTAAGAAATCTCCATCCAAACTCTCTCAGAGCCTGGACAAAATGAAGATTAATATCGACAAATAATATTAATTTTGTACTCTACTTAGGCATGAGTTTGGTTTCGTTTTGTTTGTTTGCTTTTTTTATACAAAGTCCACTTTATAGTTTTAGATGAGCTGGAGTGCATACATTACCGGAATAAAATTATGATTTTTTTTGCCTTAGACTGCAGTTGGTATACAACATTTTTTTATGTAAAAATTGTTTCACTTCATTGTCTGCAACATGTTTCCTTAAAAATTGCCCATTTTCTTCCTTTTCCACTGTTCCCTAAAAATTTTCTCTCAAGTTCCCATAAATAGTAGCAGAAGCATATCACGTAGGTGATATGCCTCTGATAGTAGTTGTAAGGTACCACCACGTGGAGATTTACTACTGGTTGTTCCATTTGTTGTAGGCAGGTTGTAGGTCACCGTCACGGGGAAAGTTATAACCGAGGAGGCCTGAGTAGAGCCTGAGGAGGCGAAAACAAAATGGCGGCTGGCGGGAATGTTGAAGTCGTTTGGAGCAACCTAATCAGCTACCTGGCGCCCGAGTCTTCCCAAGTACTTGGTATTACATATGTATAACGGATAAAATGCTTGTATTTTCAATGAAGTGAATAATTGTTGCGGCCTCTTTCAGGAACTTCAAATTCTTTGGAACAGTTTAGGCAAAACCCAGTTGTTTTCGCTCGATTACGAGAGTGGTTCCTGGGTAAGTTATAGAACAGGGGCTAACTTATCCAATAAGGCTCGTGGATTGTCTTTGACTTAGTTCACTCTGATAATTTAATACACACAAATAACAGAGTGAATAAACTTTAACTTGTTTTGTTTCATCTCAGAAAAATGTCAGAAAGATTTGAAAGAAAAATTTTGTCCACAATTTTGGTCAAATGTCCAGCACAGTGAGGTGAGCTTAAATAACATGTTTTACCACAATTGCCACTTATCTCGCAATCCGATTGGCTAATTTGCCGTTTTCGATAAGAGTCCAGACAATGCTGCTCATGTCAATGTGTCACCCTCTTGATCGCGCACTGAAAAAAACATTTTCTTTGAAGTTGATATTGTGGTAAAAAAACAAATCGAAAGTGGTTTAGAGTTGTCAGTACTCTTATCGACAACGATTTGTGTCATCACAGTGGTCAAAATTTGACCACTGTGATGACGTATATTGTTGTTGATAAGAGTGCAGACAACACTAAACCACATTCAATTTGTTAACTTTACATGCTGACATGGAATGTTGCAATTACTCAACTACTTTAAGGTGGCTTACTACAGTTTTTTGGATACTAGTAGCACACGCCATGATTGCTTGCCAGATGTCAGTATTAATCGTGCGTGCACAAATGATGCAAGCAATCCTAAGAAGAAAGAAAAACCACTTCAGCACTTGAAAGGCGCTAAATGATCACTTCAGTATACGTAGCAATAGTTTCAAGCTCCATTCAAACATGTGTTTGAGACTAGGGCCAAAAAAATGTGACAAAAAGCCTCGATAAACAACCAGTAAAAGAGCTCTAAATTACTCTTGCTTTCTTGCACGCGAAACATGGCGTCAGATGAGCGCATGCTTAAATAAAAGGCATGCGCAATTCAATTCTCGTCCAAGGTTGTAAAAGCCAGTCTTTGATTGAGGATTGCTTGAAAACCTACCGTACAACCCATGATGAAATTTTCACAGTCGATTTGTAGGGGTGAATCACGTTTAGAACCAAAATTTTGAAAAAATCTGTAAGGCAGATTTTGAGCTGTTTTTGATTTCACATTTTCTAAGTTTGCAAAAAATCTATCTTACAGATTTTTATTTTACCTTGCATGAATGTTAAATCAGAGCCAGTTTCCTATTCCTGAAATTTTGAGGCAGGGTCATATGGGTAGATTTTGAGAAAAAAAAGTTGATTTAACCTACTAGTGCCCAGTCTCTCCTTAGGTACTCGGTCGTTCATTTTGGCCATTTGTTGACATTTAACTGTTTAAGTTTCACATAGAATGGTTAAAGACTTAAATAAACAGTAAATAGAGAAAGGAAAAACATTTTTCACAAGAGTTAGAAGTTAGGCTGTTATAATCCATCAGAACTGTAGTAAGCCACCTTAAGGCTACATCCTCAAGTGCTCGAGAGTTATAGTAGGGGCCGTTTGTCCTGAATGGTGTTGCAGCTCTTGTTGTCAAAGGTTCCCCCACCTTACCCTACCCTCTGTTTTTTCATTCCACTGATCTACGTGTAATTAGTGTTGACAGGTGCCAGGAGTGGGGCTCATGGCTGAGTTGCAGTGATTTGTAAGCCTTGGAGTCAGTACTCTGCCTGGGCTGGCTGGACACAGTGGAAGCCCCTAGATACCCCAAGCACCCATCTTCTGTTCAAGCAAGGCAGCTGTTTAATCAGTTACAGTAGAGTGGTTTTCAATTGAGTGTCGTAAAACCAAAACCAAACCAATTACTTACCAATTAGACTACTCAGCCTATCTCAAATCATAGTAAAACCAAAACCAAAACCAAAGTAATTGCCTGATTACTTTCGACACTCAGTTCAAAACCGCTCTATAACTTGTGGATGGTTTGTTTTACAAGGTTGAAGGTAAAGGATTCAAGACCCTGCTCAATGCAGTAAGTAATCTTCATAGAGGTTTATCAGCTTACAAGCCATTTGTGGAACTACTTCAGTCATTATCAGGAACATTACCATTAAGGTACATTATGCCACATTTATCTCAATTTATCATATATTTGTTAAGCATTTTTTTTGAGAGAGTTTTCAGGGTGCAAAGAAAACAAATTTTCACCCTTTGCTCTTTGGGCAAGCGTAAGCTATGATGTTTTATCTCAAAAATCATTCTCACTAACCAGTCTCCAATAAGGTTGTCTCTTTAGTACTTTTGTAATTTGAACTTTCACAAAAATTTACCCAGGCAAGAAGCCATTAACCTGATTGGAAAATCCACTGGTCCCAGGCTATCAGATAGGACTCTATTTGCATACCAGTTGGTTAATACCTTAATATTTACAAAATATTTATGCTGTGTTCAGTAAATGGGTTTTATTTCCTTTTAGGAATCTCAATTTGCAATTTGAGGGACTTCTAAAGGCAGTTATCTTTTGTGATATACCTGAACAGTTCAAACATATGGTGCACGCCTTCTATAGTCAAGCATTTCAAGCATATCAGTCAATAAACAGGAAAGAAAGTGGAAAAATGGATACATCAGGTATTGCTAAGAATGTTTGTCTTTAGCTTGTGTTGTATGGTGTCTTTTCACATACAGCTGTATTGAGCTGTGTATAATGTGATTTAATTTAACCATCAGATTATCAGCTCCAGATTTCTATGGGGTGATAGTTGATAAGATCAAAGAGGCAAAGGCCTCATTAATTAGGGGTTTCATTAAGGGCCAGCTGCAGGGCAAATTAACTTGCTGCGAGGATGATTTTGCCTGCCTGGTTTGATGATGTAGAATAAACGTTTTTTTATAAGGAAGTTAAGTTCAAAAAGGTTTGCATGCCTGTGGAAACCATTTGCCCTGCTTCTGAAAACGTTAATGGAACCCCTGCATTAACTATCAACTTGAAGATATCAAGAGTGAATGAATATCTAATTGTGGTTGCAGAATTTTAACTAAATTTCAGACAAATAATGATTTCCAATGCATTTTTCTACATCTGAGTTACCATTAAGCTTTATGCTTTAGCAAAATCCTACTTGGATTGAATTATCATTGGAAAGTTACTGTGCAGCTGTATAAAAAATGTACTTGCTCTTTCGAAATTGCAAATTTAATTTTATTTGGGTTGTAAGCTACTTAAAATTTTCTAGAGGCCTGGTGGGTTGTTAGAATAATAATTATTATTATGGTTCATTCTGGCTGTTGTGACCAGCTATGTTACATTCTCAACATTGACTGAAATATATTGTTGAAGTTATGCAGTGACTTTGAGTGGTGATTGGATTTCTTGATTTTCATGTTGCTTTCAAATGGAAGGTACATCTTCAACCGGTATTGAAGATGACGATGAAGGGGAAGAAGATGATGTGGAATCATTAACTTGTGTTGGTTGTGCAGAAGAGAAGGACTGTTGTCATTGTGCAAAGATCATTGAAGGATTTTCACAACTCAATTCACAGCTTCATTCTCTCGGATTGATGAAAAAAGTTGCTGAACCAGCTTTCCTGTCAGTTATTCACAGTGAGGTAAATTCATGGTATTTATAAAGACACTAGCACTTTGGATGCACCATATGTCTGTGATGGTCACTGTTTGGAGTTAATTTAGTCAATTCACAGGACATAAATAAATACACAAATATACCCTGAGCCTTTTTAGTAGTCCATAATGATGTGTTACGGTGTATCAGAGCTCAAAATAAACTTGAATTTCAGCTTGCCCTTTGGACAAGCAGCTCTCAAATTGTGCTTGCCCTGGGCAAGTCTTGGTGTGCTCTTTTTTCTTAAGTTGCCAGACAACTTGCCCATCGGGCAAGTGAGAATGAAAAGTTGCTTGTCTGGCGGGAAAGACAACCAGACAGCACTTTTTTTTGAGCCCTGGTGTATTACAAGTGTATCGTAATATTAACTTTAAACCCTTGGAAATGTACTATACTGCCTGGACTGGTCTACATACAGTCAATTCTTACACCATCAAAAATAACCATTTATTAATAAATAAAGATAGGTTACATGATTGTACAGTACAATGTTCTGTAGTTATAATGACCAGAAAAAATGATCAATAATTTAATCTTAGTTGCATTTACCTGTCAGTGAGCGTATTTTGATTTGCGTGGAATTTATTATCTACTTCTTGTCTTTGTTATTAAACGAAATTTATACCCAACATTTTAGATTCAAAGGAGAATTGAAGAAAAGTGCAAGGGTGAATTTGAGTCTTCCTTTCTTGCTTCCTTGTTACACTGGATTGATGCTGAGCTGTGTGGTTGGCTGTTGTTGATTTTTCGAACTCAAGGTATGATATCCTTTCCTTTTTGGAGCAGGAGATTAAACGTTTTAGTTCCAAAATGGAATTATAGTTTTGCCAGCTGGTCCAATTTTTGGGGTGGTGCTGGAAAACTTGTCATCATCTGTAGTGCTGCTTATTAAGTAACATGACGTTCAAACATCTGTTACCGACAAGTGTATTTTCTCACCTCAATGATCAAGCAGACAAGCTAACACATTCAGCTAATTGTAGCAAATGTTTCAGAGTATGGCTTTTTTTGTTTTAATAGGCAGTGATGCCACTTCAGATTCCAGGACAACAAGTACAGTGTCACTGGATGACTGGAAACCCAAACTGCAATACTTTATGTACAAGTCTTTTGCTGACCTAAGGTAGTCTTAGCTTTGTTTATATTTTCCCAAATTATTTACATTTTCTGGCAGTAATAATTATTTAGTAGCCATCACCAAAACCAACAGTCAATATTTGGATCATGTGTACTAAAGGCATCCATGGTGTGTTGATTGATACCCTCCATCGACCCTTGAGTCGATCAACACTGGATGACATCTCAATCGAGACTCTGCCGACACTCAGTCGACACTAGATCAACTTCTTGAATGACACTCAATCGACAGTTGGTCGACAGTCGGTCAATAGTAGCCAGAGTGTCAACTGAATCATATGCATCAACGGACACATGATGGCATGTCTGCAAAAATTAGTCAACTCTCGACCAACTGTCTACTGAGATGTCAATAAAGTGTTGATCAAGTGTTAACTGAGGTGTTGAGCGAGTGCTGAGCGAGGGTCGATCAGGGTGTTGAGTGAGGGTATCAATCGAGGGTATCGATGGACACTCGACTGCAGATGCCTTTAGTATGTATGGTCCCAAAATTCAGTAAGTCAGTGGCCATTATAAGTGTTAGTGCCCTTAATGACCACTCTGCATGTAATTTGTTCAAATTATTGAATTCTGGTACACTTTTAAATTATAATAATAATTTTCTTTCCAAAGAAAATGAACATTGTGAAATATAATTTGGCTTCCTTCTTTAATGCACAGAATCAGTGAGTTGTTCACCATAATAGTGGAATATCCAGACTCTCTTCCTGCTATCCAAGATCTAAAGGTGACTAGTAGAATTCTACTTGTATACTAACACAAATGCTGTAATCTGATTGGCTGAGCCATTGCACACTATCAGCCATTAGTGTGTAGTGGCTTCGGTGGTTGACGAAATTGCAACGTTTCCTTGTTTCATCGAAGTTTTGAAAGAACATTTAGAAACAAATGAATGAACAAAAATCTTGAGGAGGTGAAAAGGAGGGCATTTATGGTTTCTTGAATTAAAAAAGCTCAGACCTTTTAAAAGAAACTGGTAAGCACACGTACACAACTGCAAATGTCAAATTAACAATTAATTCAGTCCTCACGAATTCTCTGAAGCATGAAGTTAATGCTAAGACCAGAAATAATTGGAATTGTTATTTGAAGGAAATTTCAGTCAGAATTCTACTAATTAAAAATAATTAATACATTATTCGTCCTTTATTTCTATGAGGCAATGGCTGATTTGCCCTTCGGTCTCATCAACTATCACCTCATAGAAATCTTGAGCTCATAATCTAATCGTTAAGTAGAAGACTTCATGTTTTCATGAAAACAATGTGCTTGTATAGAGGCACAGTGACTATCTACATGTTTCTCGAACATGTGGAAAAGAACTTTAGAAGAAGGTTTAGCTAACTCTTTGTAATTACAAAACCTGTATGTTGTTTGGCATTATTTTTTAAAACAAAGTTAGTGCCAGAGCTCTACTCTCTGGGCTGTTTTTTTGTTTACAGTTGTTCATTCCTGTTTCTAAGCTTCATGACTGATTCATTTTTCTAGGTATATTTATGTAAATTAAAATGTGGGAGG